TGGTCTGGATGTCAAGTGGGAGGATCTCTTTCAAATGGCTCCAAGAAGGAATCTCACAAGACATGACTGCCAGCTGAAGAAGCCGCACAAACCAACGTTCATCCTTTTTCTCTCAAAGGGTCATTCGACAGTGGAAGTCTTTGCCAGAGTCTGTTGTGCATTCACCTACTGTGAATGTGTTCAAGAGACGTCTGGATAATCATCCGTTAAAACCCAATTCTCACCTAACACAAATGACAGCAGACAAACAAAATACTCGCTTGGTTTCAATAGAGTTTTTATTTACATTTAAGGTGTCCAGAAAAATATTTTATACTGCATATACAGTAGACTTTATGTAAGCTGCCATTCCGCAAACGCCTCACCTTATCAACCATTCATGTTTCTAAAATAATTTTATGCATTTTTGCACAAAAAAAGCGATCTGTAACAATTTTTGTATATTTCACTACACTTTATGCATTTCTGTACCGGTTCAGTGGAGTTCTTAAGGGCTTCGGTCATATTCTCCAAAAATACCGATTGACTGGCTGACTGATCGTGATATTGATGTTGTTATATAAGAGACCTATAACATCCAATTTTATTGTTCAAAACCCCCAGAGTGTGAGACAGGCGGAACTCATCGTGGAAAACAGGATCAAAACGAAGTGAGGACAATAAAGTTCACGAGGTCATCACCGAAATGCCGGAGATGCGACTTTGCGGACAGCAGAATACAACCACCAGGCGGCGAAAATAAAAAGAGCCTGCAATGAGCATCAAAAGAGACCGCAAAGACTATCGTCGTGGCTTCAAAACGGAGAGGGTTTGCCAACATTTAACAATGATTTCTCAACAGAGGAGGGAGAACAAAGTGGCTGCGAAGATTGATTTTGCAACATTTGTAAACATATTTAGAAACCAATTGATCGTCGAGAGAACCAATTCAAATGCCAGGAGGACCCTTTCTAAAGTCCAAAAGTTGCGTGTTTAGAAATGAAACGGATGATAAGGACTTAATATCTTCCGAAGCTTAATGTTTAAAAAATATGACTTTGAAAACTGCCAATTTAGACGACAACCTAAGTTCGAGTGGAAAATTATTCAATATGAAGGCACACTTTGAGGCAAAAAAGAGAGAAGGGTTAGAGCCGAAGCTAAGGGGAAGTGAATTGATCATCAAAGAATTACGAGTGGTATAAGGTCGGTATACCGGAGGGATAGCGTTAATTCGTGGAGATCAGGGCTAAAGTAAATGCGAAACCAGAAGCAGAAGCCGGCATTACATAACCGATATCTATCAGTATAAGAGATACTGAATCCAGAAAGAGAAACATTTTTCAAGGAATTTTAAATCTTACTGCGCTTATATGAGGCGTTGGCCAATTATTGGCTCAGACTATCGGTAAATCCACAATTTTATGGGTGTCTCAGACAGTCCGACTTTTAATCAGCCCTCGCTGACGCAGAATTTATGACCTCGAGGTTTGTGTGGTTTATGGTAGCGTACGTGTTTCTTCATGATGCTTTGGGTAACAGTTAAACTCTGTCCTTGTTTTGGCAGCTATTTGTTCTTGTAATTAACCTCGCACATCCTGCATGGACTAGGTGCACAAGTGGTTCAGTGTTCAATATTGACGAGTATTTTGTAAATAATATCCACATCCTCTCCTCTCAAAATTAAACTTATATATGCACTATTCGTCAAACTCACATCCTTTTATTCGTATTGCTTCTTTATAACTATGAGACTCACTTTTGCTCTCTGCCCGGACACAAAATGACCTTTTTCTGAACAAATGCACCTGTATATATATGCACCTTCGTACGCGTAACCGACCTATGAATTCTGATATCGAAAGACTGACCATCAATAGCTTTCAGAACCTTACTGATAAATGTGAAATTTTCCGGGTTACGCATGTACGCGCCCTTGTTCTCTCTTACGGTTCTACTTGCTGTAAGGTATTTTCTGCCCGTACAATCATGAATATAAAATGAGTTCTTTTTTCACTAGGTCGCCGCCCAGTGTGCTGAGATTTTATAGGCACCACGGGAAATCCTAAGTCTTTCTTGTCCACTCAGTGTTACGTTATGAGCTGTGCATGAAATGAGTACTTTTGAAGATTGGGGCTGTCGCGCAGAGTATTCTGCAAATTCGATTCCTCCACATTCACCTCTTAGTGGACCTCATCCTAAAAAACAAATGGCCTCTCTTTCCCATCAAGTCATCAGTCCGAATCGTTGTAACGTGGAACTCGACCAGAAAAACTCCGAGCTTGTTGAAGTACCATTAACGTCGGACGAAGAAAATGAAAGTTTGGTTGATCTACGAGAACAACGCTTAAACCCATACGAAGCTATTTGCCTTTCAGCGGACCAGAATATATTTCCAACTAATTGGAATAACCATTTCCCCGGTCTAAATGAGGTGCTTCCCCCGTTTCGGCCAAGTAGCTCAGAAAATTCACCTTCGCCAATCCGATCTCAGCCATCCATCAACGTGACCGGCGAATTAAATAAGAAGTTCTACGGACAAGGCAGTTCTTTGTCGTCAAATTCTGATGCGGAGTCGCTTTCACCAGTAGTTTTAACCAGTCCTGGTTGTCTGCCGCACAATGCACGGGCACGCTCGCCCAGTTTTACTGAATCATGTGATGATCTCAAGTTCAACGAGAAGCTCGCTACTGAGCTAAGGGACCAGTGCAGTCTACTTAGTCCATCGGTTGTTCGCGCCATCACTTCTGATATTGAGGACATTAAGAGATCTCTCACTGGACCTATCACACTTCCAGACCTTCTGCCTGTAGCAGGACAAGGGGGATGTCGAGACAACGGAGCACCTTGTAAGCAATTTTCGCCTGAACACCATGTTTCCAACTCATGGACCGACTCGCCTGTGCACAACTCAGCGGAGAATCAGTTGCTGTTATCCGA